TGATTATTTGTTTGTTATTTTTTCCATTTTACATAGAGCATGTTCTCTCCAGCAGCCCTTTCCAACTTGAATTTATGCCTTTTAAGCTGAGCATGTAATGACCCTTTAATGACTGATGGTCACAAAGACCTGGTTAACAAACATCTCCTAATGACAAAGTTGGCCAGAAAGTAAAACACACTCACAAACCACAGTGAAGCCAAAACAGGAACAATTTATAACGCCACAAAGGCCAGTTAGTACACTAAATGTTCAGACCTATTAGCTAAAGCATAAAACAGCACCTGTGGTAAGTTTCTACTTTTTAACTTGGCCTTGAACAATGGCACAATGTTCATGTATAGTACAGGGTTTTTTACAATATTAACACTGATGTATTACAGTGATCTAGAACTCTTGCTTATACTATCAACCAGCACAACAAGTAGGCACTATGCTACTTACAATGTAAAAGTGAAACTTTTATAATAAATGACTACACTATGAGTACAAGACAGCGAGGTTTTCTCTGTTTACTGAAGATGCAATATTAGTAGAACAGAGTCCTGCAAGTTGCAGGTAAAGGGAAAAACTTCCAAATCTCCACTGCTGTATACCTGTCATCACAGGAAGACCTTCCATTACTGAATCTTAAAACAAACGGCAAATCAGCTCTCCAGAAATACAATTTAACACCTAGAACATGCCTGACTTCACAAACAAACGGAACTGCCATTTATTTGTCAGTTTTAAATGCTGTCTAACACCATGGTAGAGACATACGTATTAACATACCACCTCATAAACAACACATGGTAAAAAACATCCTCTTCCTTTCATTTCCTCAACACATTCCCAGTAATAATTGTACTAATTTTCATTAACAACTATCATAAAAAATAGTAATATTACATTTGAGCAAGAAAACAGCGGACAGAAGTACAGATATATTCAGCAAGAATAAACAATTCCAGAAATTCCTCTTGGATCAAAAAAAGTCAATGACTACTTGTTGAATACTGAGTCACTGTATGGGATTGTCAATCTTTGTCATTACACAATATTCAGCCAGCAAAAACATTAACTTCAATGGAATTACTTCTAAGTATCAAGAAGCCACAACTGTGTTAGTAATCACAACCAGTTTTCTCCTCTGCATCCCATTGTTTAGTTTCAAAAATGTTCTTGAACGAAGATACCAGAAAACTGACATCCCAATTGCCTTTTTATTTTTTTTTAACCATAGAAATGTGGGACATCAAAAATTTGCTGGTACTTTGAATAAAGTGAAAACAGGCATAAAATTTGAAATAAGCAAAACTTACAAATAAGGCATCAAACTTCAAATCCTTCCTACACTAAAAGATATTATTTGCCAACTCTGGCAACAGACCTTGAGGGCAGGGGATGCATTTAACACTGAGCTATTTTTACCTTTAAATTCCACCTTCTCGACTTGCAGCAATACATAGCCTGTGGCTTTCAATGTTACCAACAGCAATGTAGTGATTACAAAATCTATAGCAATATTTTTGTATTATTTAATAGGTCATCAAAAACTGGATTTCAGAATGAGCCATACTTAAGTGAAGTGCTCTCTACCTCACCTGGAAAGAGTCATTTGAACATATACCATCTGATAGCTGGTTTTACACTAAAAATCCTATATTATGAATCAGATTAATAATCAGAAATTGAACATCATCTGTTATACTGATCTCTCCCAGTAACTCAAATCATCAAAGGGAAAATTTATTGCACACAGACATGCTCAAAAGTGGTCTGCTTGCTTGCTGACTTATTTCAAGCCTTGAGGTAATAACACCAAAAAAAAAAAGTGTGTCTCATTATTTTGTGATGTTTACAAAGGTAACAGAACTGGATTTCACAAACTTGTAAGTAAGAACTTCAATAACGGATATCAATTTAGGATATTCATACATTTTTATATTGCTAGTCAGACACCTGCGAATCACATGAAATTCAAATTCTGAACACTGTCTACTAATCCTCCAAGGCTCATCAAATCAACTAGAGTAGATTTTCAATTAGGTGTTGCAGAACCATGTTTGATTGAAAGATTTGGTGAAGGTTTTTTTTTTAAAAAGGACCATCATCCAAGACCAACTTAAACTGCTGCTGTTACTTAGAATTGCAAAACTGGCTTCTTAAGGGAGACTGAGTTTCCATACAAACGCTAGAAATCTCTGAACTGAAAACTTCAAGTGTTGCTATTAAACTACAAACTGCATAAAAAAATAAAAAAAAACACGTTTACTCCCAAGCCACCAATTCCAGATTACCATAATCTTCACTAAACTAGAGCTACAGCCAATGATGACATGCATGAGTCATACGAAAAAGACCCCAGTAAGAAGCAGATGTTAGTTGAAGCGTCTCATGTTTCCATTCTTCCTATCCAGTCCTAAACAAACCCAAACTTCAGATTCTTGAAGCTCAACAAAATAGATTAGACTAAAATACAGAAGACAGCTAATCTAAACAGGAGTAATATGGCTGAAGACCTGGATGCAAGTACCATGAGGCAAATTCTCAATGCTCCATACTGAGTGTCTGTTTCAGTGTTACAGTATTACACAGCTTCTCAACTGCCTCTCAGTTGCGTCACTTTTAAGTATGATTTTCCCCCTCGTATTTACACAATACTCTGAAAAGTACTTATTTGTTTTGTCATTTTCCTTAGGCATTCCTGATAGTTCCAGAATCCAAAGAAATCTAGTTATCATGAAAGCAGAGGGAATTAACCATGACCCAAAATATCATTAATGACCAAAGTTTCAAGGAATACAAAGTACTATATAAACAGGATTCTAATCTTTTGGTCACCAAGGGAAATGCATAATGTGTTAGCCACCATGGGACATGTTCTTTAGACTTCGCCCTGAAACTGAATAAAATTCAGAATAAACGTATTATAGACCTTGCTTTTGATAATCAAATGAAGTAGATTAAAAAAAATAATAAATGAAAAAGTTACACCAGGCAATGATGAATTTAAAGCCCTGTTAATGACTCCTTAAGGTAAGTCCTATATACTTTTTAACTTAAATAATTCTTTACATGGGGTCATACCAATACATTTTACTGTCACTTTTATCCTCAAGGTCAGCAAATCCTGAGGCAAGAAAACCAACAAAACTATTTGTCCAATTTAGATAATTAGACTCAAAACTGGATCTCTGTTATATGCATATCAGCAGTATGACACTGTCCCAATTAAAAAAAAACTCTGAACAATCAGCTGCACTGAAAAAAAAAAACACTTTTTCCCACACTAGGTTACACTTATTCTGAGTAATACATTCTCTTGCTAACCAATTACTTTCTAAAAGATAACACTCAGAATCCCCCCTGCCAATACTGTATTCTTCAATGCAGTATTTTAGAACTGAATTAGCCTGTGGCCCACAAACCTCCTTAAATACCTCAGAATAATAAGCAGTTAAAAAATATTTATTGAGAGTGCACTCTGTGCTCTCCCAATACATAGCTCTTTCTATAGTATATTACTGTAATAATATAGTAATGGAGAATGCTTTCTATGGAATATTAAAGACTGCAGCCTCATTATGTTTCAGATTTTTGCTCAGTCTGATCTATAGCAATTTTGCTAATACATGCATTAGCCCGAAACCAAAATTTATGGCTAAAGAATACACATTTCATTATTTAAGTACATAAACACTCAGCACAATAAAGATCACTGGCTGACAACGGCTTCATACTGAATTTCTAATCTAGCATTTATTCTATATTCCCTGTATCATCACTTTGTTTCACATCACGTAAGTATGGCTTCCAGTTTAAGACAGTTCAACATTTGAAAGCTTTGAATTAGACATAGTAGCTGTTATTTAAAATTTCCATTTTCCTCCAACCTGCCCTTGCATTAAGAACACAGTGTATTGCAATCAGAGTGCAGCCAGACCTGGCAGCATTTTAAAACACAAAACAGAAGTGGAAAAGATAAATTCCTCTATGAATGTGCAATTTAAAAATTTTAAAACTGAAGCTATCAAGAAATTTGTATGTGTGAACAGACAGATTTCAGGCTTTATCTGATTTGATAGATTAATGAAGCAAGTACAGTTTGTTAAAAGACTGTCTAAGAATCAGACAAGACAAATGCATTTTGGGAGAACAGTGTTCTTCTCTAACATAAACATTAATTTGTTCTAGTTGTCCATCTAAAGATTTTTTTTACACCATCATAAATTCCACTCTGTCCCTCTAAAACAATGAAAGATAAATCTAATAAAAATGAAACAGAATAAAATAGGAACATTTATCAGATTAGGTGCAAGTACATATGCTGGTAAATTCAGATAACATTAACACCTTAAAAAAATAATCTAATACTGCAGATTCTAAATCTGAAACGTTATGAGATTTTTATTAATGCCCCTAAGGGTATAAAATATAATCACAGCATAGTATTGAAAGCTACTTATTCTAGAATGCTTTTTTTTATGTCCTTACCTTTCCAGAATCACTCATCTTTGGAAGAACCTTCCTTTTCAGAACTGTTTTATTAGCAGAGAAAAAGCCCCACATGATAACCGCACTAACTGGGACCTATGTTTACAGAAACATGCTATGCCAGTCACAGTTCTGCGCTCACCACGCCATACTAAACACAAAGAAACTTCCGAAACGCACACATTCCTTTCCCTCATTCCAAAGAAAGGAGTGAGCTGGCTGTTTAAGTACCGAGAACCTGTCTGAAACATGACAACTTGGGGAAAAGGGCGGGGAGCCATTTACTAGGCCAGCGGGCCACGCTGCAGCGGGAGAGGGTGCGAGCGCCTGCACATCGGCTACTCGCACACCCCACAGTGATGGTGCAAAACCGCAGCAGCACCGTCGGGGACACTGGCAGGGCAGGGCAGGGCCGGGCTCTGACCAGCGCCAGCAGCCGGCCCGCAGGGCGCGGAGGGGGAAACACCAGGCGCGCGGGTCGTCCCGTGAATCGTGTTTCACCCACACACACCCCGCTCCCCGGCACGGCGGCAATCCTTCAGCCGCCCGCCTAGGGGCCTCTCCGATCCACTACAGCCGCAGGGACACCTCACGGAGAGAGGCCGGCGGCCACGCAGACCCCCGCGGACACAGAAATGACATGAGAGTAATTAGCCCTCCCCGGACCCCGCTACTCCACGGCCAGGCCCCCCGAGCGGAGCGCTGCCCAGCACGCGGGGGAACACACCGAGTCAGGGGGCGGACTGGCGCAGCGCCTGGGGCCGGAAGGGGGCGGCCGGACCCCGAGCGCCGCGCCCGGCAAAGCGGGCGGGCACCCGCCGGGGCCGCACACACGCTCTCGAGTCCCCACGGGATTGCAAGATGGCGACGGCCGAGCCCGTTCACCGGCTCGGCGGCGCCCCCTTCCCCCCCAGCCCCCACGACGGACCCGAGCAGGCAGGGCCCGGCATCGCTGCCCCGGGGAGGGAACGCGGCGCCTGGAGGCGGCCCAGCGCCGAGGCGAAAGGGGACACCCCGCCGGGCTGGGTTGGGCCGGGCCGTCCCGCTGCCCCCTCCCCGCGCCGAGCTCCCCCTCACCTTTGAATTTGAGGTCGGTGGGCGGATCGAGCACCAGGATCTGCTCGTGCTTCGCCAGCGACCCGGCGGCCGCCATCTCGCTCGCTCGCTCCGGCGGGAGGAGGAGTGGGGGGAGGGATGAAGGGGAGGAGGAGGAAGATGAGAAGGAGGGGCGGGAGGGGGAGGCCGGCCGGCGGCGGCACCGCTCCCTGGCGGCGGGCAGTATCCCGGCGGGCTGAGGGCGGGTGCTGCCGCTGTGCGCGCTCCTGCCGCCGGGAGCCCCGCTCGCCGCCCTACCCGCGTGACTGGCTCAACGGCCGGCCGGCAACACCACCCCTCCGCGGGCACGAGGGCGGCGGGGCACCCTTGTGCGCATGCGCCCAGCGGCTCCCTCTGTTCTCACCCCCACCCCCTTCCGTTCCGTTCCGTTCCGTTCCCGCGCCGGCGGTCGGAACGAGACCCTCCGGCGTGAGGGTCAGAGCGAGCCGCTGGGGAGAAGCGGCACCCTGCCCACTTCTCGCATGCACAGAGTCCGCGCAGGGGCGGCGGGAGCAGCACGCCTGCGCTGAGAACAGCCGAAAGGGGAAACGCGCCACCAGCCCTGCGCGCTGAGGGCCTACAGCGCTGCTGGGGGAACTACCGCTCCTGGCGTGCTGCGCGGCAGGACGCGGGGCCTGCTGGGAGCTGTAGTCGTTGTGCGGAGCCAAGGCGGACGCTCTTCCGTCGGGCCTCATGGGGGTGGCGGGGTGTTCTTCCCTCGAAGCGGCAGGAGGGAGGGCGAGCTCAGGTGATGGGTCCCTGAGGGACACTTGGGAAAGGGACAGATTGGGCAAATAGTCTTAAACTCACCATGGCCAGTGGTTGCTCTGCCTTAGGTTCAGGCTTGAGGTGTTGAGTCAGCTCTCGGCTGCACCTGGATGGCTGTGGCCTTGCCTAAAGGCACCTCTATTGCCCTGCCAGGCAGCACCCAGGCACTGAGGTGGATGGGCCTGTCTCTCAGACAGGCCTAGAAAATGGCCAAAACTCAAACGGGAGAGTTTTTGTTTGGTGAAGGGTTAGGAATGTTGAGAGAGTCGATGCTGAGAGAGATTGAGCTCTTGCAAAACTTGAATGAGAAGTTAGAGTCATTATTTGTTAATAGGCAGAAAGATGGGGTATTTGCTGGCTTTCTCACTTGCCCATTTTCTCAGACTCATGTTTTCACCATAGGCCTTTTCATTAAAGCCATCCTTTCAAGCAGATGGTGCATCTTAGGATATTCAAATACAGCAGTAACAAACAAGAAGAAACAGTCAGACAGCCAAACCATCTGAACCTTGATGACTCCTATGTCCTAAATCTACTCTGAAGACTCTGACTAACATATATAAGTTTGTACTCATCCAAGGTTGGAGTACAGATGATGGAAATGAAGTCAGAAGGATTAACACACTTATTTTTTCTCTCTTGCAATCTGGTGTAGGTATGCCAAGAAAATGTATATATGGGTATACAATAACCCATTTGAAAAATACCACCTGATAATAAATACATTGACATTACTGAAGTGCTTTACTTTCAAAATCGGCTCATTATGTGTGGATCACATACTTTGGTGAATGCCTCTGTCTCAACCCCCACCATGAAGGAAGGGTTTTGAAGCCATTAGGCAGGGGAGACCCTCTGGGTAATTTGTATTCAGGCTCTGCCTTGGCTCCAGCAGTGCCTTCACTCTCTCTTTCAGCTGCCTGCTTTTCCAGGTCTGCCACCATCACACCTGCCTACTTCAGCACTTTTCTCCGTGCTTCTCTTGCCAACAGCAAATGACCATGTGACTTTTAATACCAGTGCTGACTGAAGAAATAAGTAAGAAGTGCTGTAGAAAAGTACTTCAGAGCAGTTTTACTTGATTGAAATTGGCTTCAGTAGGTGGAGTTTTATGGTGTATATATACAAATGTCACTAGAGGTCTGCAACTACTCTGGCTGCAGTTTGCCTCTACAGACTTATTTTATGAAGTGCATAAAACAGCATCTCAAATTACATCCTTTATTTACAGTGCAATATTTTAAGTTATTGTCTAGTGGTCTGCTGGGCTTCATTAGCAAAACCTATGTTCCACTCTTTATGCATTCTTGCCCTTCAGATGTGGAAGATAATCTAGAAGATAGAGGGGTTTCTCCTGCCCTAGTGTATATTTTTTTCTTCTGTTAACATGGACCCTTACTCTGTTACCTCCATTCTCCATCTCTCTTCATGAATCTGCTGAAGATCAAGCTGTGGTGTACACTTCTCACATATGGTAATTCAGCTCCAGAATTACCTGGTGATTATGTACCAGAAGAACTGCGTCTTGGCTTGCAAATAATCAAGACATGAGGAAGTGGTGCAAAATACTAAATGCCACAAAAAGTTTTTTTTTCTTTTAATAGGGTTAAAAAGTAACAGTAAAGAGTACTAAAGTTTAAAGAGAAGCTTCCTCTATGCAGATTTAGAAGACAGAAATACCTTTGATTTCTAATTCTTGTATCATCTTGTATAAGAAAATCTGAGGGGAACCAGAAATTAAGATCTCTCCTTAATGTGACAACAGGTCTTACAGGTCTTGTTTGACACAATTGTGCAGTAGACATAACTGACATAAGGGGATGTGCACTGGCTGGGGAAGGACCAGGTTAATCCTTATCACCAGCATATGGAGAGGCAGTAAATGAAGGGTAGGGCACAGCCTCAAGCTGCAGCTCACAGAGTATCACAGCATCACAGAGGCTGGAGGGCACCCCAGGAGAGCCATAGTTCAATTTCCAACTCAAAGCAGGGCCGAAGCTGAATTCAGGCCACATCACTCAGGGCTTTGGCCTGTGGGGTTATGAAAACTTCCAAGGACAGATTTCACAGCCTCTCTCCACAGCCTAGCTCAGTTCTTGCCAGTGCAGCTTCAATCTGCTCATTTTGTATTATAATAATGGCAAAAAACATAAAACACTGAGTGGGTGGCTTAATGGTAATTATGTACGAACGTGGGGTTTTTTAATGTAGGCTTTGTTGTTGTTTGAACACACAGAGAACCTTAATAATGCATTCATCTGTTTTGTTGTGTTTAGTATCATTTCTGATCTAATACTTTTATTTAATCCAGATTGATGGCATTTTTTATATTAAACAACACCTGTGCTGTTGATCAGCGGTATCTGGCAGACTTCTCCAACATCTGATTCATTTTATTTTAACACCTCATAGCACAGTTCAGGAATGAAATCTTGGATCTGTTGCAGTCAGTAGAACTCATCTGACTGATTTTGGTGAGACCATGATGTCATTCCAGAAGTGTCTTTAGTGTATTCATCACTACTTGCAAAAGGATAATATTTACTTTATCTGAGGTCAACTTTTGTCTAGTGTGTTTGTAGATCTTCATGTTTTTCACATTGTGAATTCAATATCATGTTACAGTATCTCAGTTGGAGGTGGTTTGATGTTTTTCAAAACTGTTTGCTATTATATATTAAATAACTTCCCTCTATATCTGATAAGTAACAGAATAGATTCAGTTTCATAATAGTGTTTTCCACAGTATATTTTGCAGGTAGTTTATTCAGTCCCACCAATTCTGAACTTAAAAGTGTTTTGCAGTGAAACAATATCATGACCTTCTTTGCAATTTCTTGCTATTATTAAGACTGTCAGAAAAAGCAACCAAGTGCTGCATTACTTGTCATGTTAATGCAAAAATTCTAGATCTCATGCAGTGAAGTATCTCATGCATTCTGCACTGCTAAGTCGGTGAATATTGTAAAATGCAAAGTTATAAAGGTAAGAGTATGTTTTAATTTCTCTTTAAAGAAATGCCTGCCTTTTTGGTGCTTATTCTGAAATACAGAATTGTTCATACAGCAGGCTCTAGTCATCATTTACTTGACTGCTAATGAGTTATATATATCATTTCAGGCCCACTTGTTATATTGTAAATCAAAGGTAAAATTGCAGTCCGCACTATTATTGAATATTTATGGCATTATTCAAATGTTGCCACAGATTGGAAAAGTAGATCTGAGTTGAAAATCTTCAGGTTTCTTCAGCTACGCTATATTTCTTTGCCCACTGACATTATTATAAAAACATACAATGCATGTTGAATATTCAAGTAGAAAGAAGCCAATAACACATAATGGATTGTCATAGATAGCTATAGCATAAAATTTGATGTGCTTTTCCTGTTTTGGACCCAGTTTTGTTCTGAACACAGAAATGCCCTAGACCATTAACTTTTGTAGGAACAAGAAAAAATTTTCATCTTTTTGACATCTAATGAGATCAAAAATGTCAGCTTTTTTTTTAAAGGAGCATTTTAAGAACTGAATGATTCCTTGGCCAATTTCATATGTGCTAAGCCATTTATCCTTTGATAAAGGGCAAAATTATTAAGGAAATGGATTTTTGAATACTGTTTTCAAGAATTGATTTTTACAGTTCATATACATTTGTGAGGGATGTAATGAGGCAGTTCAATATACAAAATATGAAATGTGTGTATATTGGTTATTGTTTCCTGATGTTGCATTTGTAAAAATGCATGCACTCCTAAAAAGTAGCCCAAAATCAAATATGCATGAGCAAGTGTACAAACATAAGTACGTAGTTGAAGCTTACCTCCAGAATTAAGTAACAGTCTTAGCCTGAGAAGTAATTCTGCAGAACCAATATGATGGTGCCCTGTGGTCATTGCATCTCTTTCCCAGTCTGATATTCTGGCAAGCAACATCATGGTCTTTCTCAATCTCAGTTTGGAGAACTTCTCTGGCAACAGGTATTCAAATCTCCCCTTTCATTTGTTTTGTTAATACACATGGCAGCTCTGAAATACTAATTTTGCCCTCAGCATCTCCTGAGCAGTCCCAGGAAGCCCTCCAATTGTATTGTTAAATTATGCCTAGATTCATTTCTAAGGGGTCACAAGGTAAATAGGAGCAAATAATGTAATGTCGATGTGTGAAAGACAAGCATTGTACTGAGACTGTGCATGACACATGAAGTGCTTTCCCTCTACTAAGCAATGAGAAGACCCACACTGAAATGCTGCATCCAGTTTTGGGCACTATCCTTCAGGAAAGATGTCCAGTAATTGAAGGGAGTCCAAAAGAGAGGACCTGTAATGAGTAAGATCCAGAAAACAGACTGAAATATGAGAACAGATTGAAAAACCAAGGTTGTTTAGCCTAAGGAAGACAAGATTGACTCACGTGTTCAGTCTTCAAATACATTAAAAGCTATTGCAAAGAGAAAGAAAATAGTCTGCTCTCATTTACTTGGAATAGGACAGGAAGTGATGGGTGTAGATCAAAGCAAGAACTGATTTAGAGCAGATATGAAGAACTTTTTAAGAGTAAGGATAATTAACAAAAGAGATGGCCTGAAAGTACAATCCAGGGAGTCCCAGTCACTGACCTTTAAGAACAGGTTAGACATCTGTTGGGGCATATAAATTTAGCTGATCCTGCCTTGAGATGTGACCTCTGAAGTCCTTTCCAACCCTATGAGTCTATCACTGTGTAAATTCCACCACGCTCAAACTTACCATCCGCATTGGAAATGTCCATTCCCCAAGGTCTGAGCTAGAGTCCATTAAAATCGGGGAATTTTTCCAGTTACTTGAATAAGCATTGGATCAGGCCCTAATTGAGTGTGTAATTTGGAGCTGTGCATGGAATTTGGTCCACAATTCTGTTAATGGTATTTGCAAATGAGAAGAATCCAACTCCTTTTCCCAGGGTACATTAGTTTGCAATGGCTCCAGGAGAAAGTAAACATACACTGAAGAAGCAGTGCTAGATTTTTCTTGAGTAGAATTGACTGAATACAAACACAAGGAAAAGATCTCGGAGGGAAAATTAGCAACTTTTCTCAAGGAAGAACATTTCAGACAGCTATTTTTTACATCAATTAAACAGGGCAAGACAGAAAGAGACAGTGAAAACTATGTTAACAACACTTTAAAAATAAATAGGTATCGCGGACGTGAGAAAGAAATGTTTGTCTCTGCTGAAAGACCAAATTAGCCGAGAGTCTGAAAATGGGCAAAGCAGAAGAAGGGGAGACATGGAGAAATTCAAACTGGCAGTGCATTCAGTTGGTTGCATAGTGACTGATGAAATATCCATTCCCCCATAGTGTATTACCAAATAACATAAAGCTTTTCTTCCACTCTGAAAGATCAATTAGATCACAAGCACTTACTCCAGCTGAAGCTCTGCCTCTGCAATTCCACGTTTATGCAATCCAGAGGAATACCAATATGCATAAAGTTAAGATTTTGCAGATTTGCAGAATAACACCTCCTGTGGGCATCCACAGCCGCTCTGCTTTTGTGAGTTGTTTGCATCTCCTGGAAATTCTTTGTTACCCTTGTCTTGTGGTAGGAAACAGGCAAGAGCTCAAAACCTCCTCTAACAGACACAGGAAGCTAAGGTTACTAATGTGGGGCCAATTCATGAAAGATCTTTGCTCTTATTTCATTATCTCTAGGAGTAGAGACATGAGGTTTCTAGAATCATCTCCCCACTCCAGTCTGCTTGTTGCAGATACGTTCTGTGTCTGCACACAAGCTTAAACATTCTACCTGAGAGATCAGTTATGAAATGTTTATTTACTCTGCATTTGGGTAAGAAAAAAAGAAAAAAGTCTGCATAATATTATTGATGGAATCTTTGACTGCCAAATACTGAATTATTTATAGTTCATTGTAGAAATGATACCCACGAGGACCTGTAAGATTGCGATACGCAGTTGATACACTGCACAAAAACAAGAAGCCTGTCTTTCAGACTTTGTTCTGGTATTTTGGTGGGTCATCTTAAAACAGGTATGAACACTTTGCAGAGGCAAACCTGGAAAACCTGACAGCATTTTTGAAGCTGCAGAAAACCCTACGTAGCAAAAGATGCTCTGACATGGGTTACCCCACATGGGATTATTCCACTCCCAACCGATGTGCACCCATTGGCCAGTTATCTTTCAAGTTGTGCACAATTCCCTGGTGCTCCCCCTCCCTGTGGGTAACCCAGACCCTTCTGCCCTTCAGCAGGTCCTACCTACAGTATGGGCACTGCAACCCTTTGCATGGCTCTCTGCCTACAACTGTGAATATTCATCATTTTCCTCCCCCGAGCACCAAGCACTAACAGGGAAGTTTAGGAAATCATACCTATTCACCCACTACTTTGGTCCTGTGCCTACCTACATGTTGCAGACAAAAACTTAAATAAATGTTTCACTGTTAAATTCATAAATAGTTAAATAGTTAAAGGCTTGTAAATATTTTTTGAGCAGGGTTTTTAATAGAGACTTTAATTGTGCAGTCACTGGTTTTATTCCACAGGATTCCTTGCTTCAATTCTGCTTTGCAGTGGAAAACACTCTCAGTGCATTGAGGCCATTCTGCTCCTACTCCATCACCCCCAAACTACTTACGTCTTATTTTGCTGTTTGGTTGGGAGTATTTTGCCTTCCTTTCTCCTAATCCACATTGTTCCTGCCTCTGTCTTCCTGCTGGCTAGCATACAGATAGGCTACCAAACTTCCTCTCCTTTCACCTTCAAATCATAGAATAGTTATGGTTGGAAAGGACCTTAAGATCACCTAGTTCCACCCCTCCCAGCCATGGGCAGGGACACCTCACACTAAACCATGCCACTCAAGACTCCAACCTGGCCTTGAACACCGCCAGGGATGAAACATTCACAACTTCCGTGGGCAACCCATTCCAGTGCCTCACCGCCCGCATGGTAAACAACTTCCTCTGAGCACTGGGCATGACCACTTGTCAGGGCTCCTCTGGTCCTGGTGCTCTGGGTTATCGCCTGGTGCTCATGCACCACGAAGGTGACCCCTCGTGTCCTGCAGCTGGGAGGGGAAGGGCTTTTTTGCCCCCAGGGTAGACCGGCAAGAGTCTGGGGTTTTTTGCCTCCTTCACAGCCGAGTACAGCCCCTTGATGGGGCTCCTTTGGGCTCTTGTGGCCCAAAGGCAGCTGCTTGTGCTCCACACAGGTGGCCCTTGTGCCCCACATCCTGGGGGGGAGGCAGTGTCCAGCACTTCCAGGGTGGCCCAGGGACTTGCTGCTGTCCTGTGTAGCATTGAGCACCACCCCTTGTCAGGCCCATTCTGGCTGGGTTCTTGCACTGCTCTCGCACCACCTCAGCGCCGCTCCTGTCCCAGCTTTCCTTTGTTAGACTGCAAAGGATGTTTTTTCAAGCTAAACTGAAGGATGTGTCAGCCTGCTGCTGGCTATGTATGTGCATCGTGTTCATTCTTGTGAGCATCAGCTCTGAAACAGATTGAGGAAAAGAAAACAATCTAACCTAAACTATACGTAAATGAGCTAAACTAACTAAACTAAGATAAAATAACTTTATTTATAAATAAATAAAATACTCTTTCCACCTATAACCTTTCTGATTTGTGTCTTTGAAGGTGCTTTTGGTGCTGAAAATCCCTTGGCATTTCAGGTAAATAATGGTCTCATCATTATACAACTCATTGTGAGTGCAGGGAATGGAGTGGAATCAAATAGAATGGAATAGAACAGAAGAGAATGGAATGACACAGAATAGAACAGCTATGATATGTTATGCATAAAGAAATGAGGCAGGTGTTTTTTCTCCTTCTTTGTCCCTAGTATGAGAAAAAGCAATTTAGTAGAAATAAGCAGCAATTTAACAGAAAACAAGAGCCAGTCACTGCAAACATGGAATGTGATTTTTTTTTCCTATGCCTGGCCAATCCTTGCATGTTTTCATTCCCTGAGTAAGGCAAATAATAGAAATGAGGAAAATAGGAATATGTAGTAGAACACAGAGTAGTTTCTATTCATTCACCACCCTCCCTCTTTGGGCCAGCACCACAGGCTTCAGAGAGTCCCAACATGGGCATTTAGTGGGTAGTATCCCTTCCACATTGAGACTCATCCTGGTTTTAAAACCTGGCTTAATGTTTAAGATCTGAAGCACCATGTTAAATACTCTTAGGTCATTCTGTTCTCTTTGTTCCTTGCAGCAATTTTGTTGTCATTTGCAAAGTTGTCAGCAAGGAGTTTATGTTTTTTCCAAATCACTGATAAAGACATCAGTGATCTGGAAGCCTTTAAAACCGTTAAATAAGCCATTGGAAGAGAGTAGACACATGCTGATGTAGCTGCTAATTGGTTCACACAGCACTTGATACAGGTAAATGGATTTTGTATAGTACTGGGGCTTTTTTTACAGGACTGTCATGCAGGGCTACACCAAATGACTTAAAGTAATCCATATGTATTAAGTCAATATTTAAGCAACTGCATTTTAGTCTCACTTTGTTGCTTGACTACACCCATTTTCCATAAAAAAAAATATTGATTAACATTACATAAGCTACTACCTATTTGTTTCCTATATTTGCCTTTATTAGTATTTTGTCCAAGGTCTGTGTAATGCTTGTGATTATCTGAACCCATTACGTTTATTCTTTACAGTGTGCCACATTCACTTTTTGCCAGTCATCTGAAATTTCTCCTGTGCACCAATATTTGTTCAGAATCAATACGAATGACTCCAAAAGTATCTCTACCAATATTTGTCATACTCTTGGGAGTATTCACCACTAAAGATTTCAATGTGTTTTGCTTTCACTGATGAACATTCTCACAGAGACACAACGAAAGGGAAAGAATTTCATACCACTTCAGTATTATACCAGAAAAAAAGCCAGCTTTTCAAAGTAGCTTAGTAAAAACTGTTCTTTCTTATCCAGCAGATAGTCCCCGGGTGAATTCAGTTTCACTTATGTCAAAGGCAAAAAATACATCATTGCAGTTTGCTCTAGTTAGCTATTCAGAGGCAATACAATTGCAACAGAAACAGTTGAGCCGGATTTTGGCTTATACATCAGTAACAAAACTTTCAATTAAGTTAAATTATTGGATGTTCAATCTTAGGGACGGATACGCTAAAAAGATCACTCTTTAGGCAACTGTCACATTCTAAGTTCATTTTCCAAGTCTGGCACGTTATCTTCAGCAAATCTTGGGAGGCTTAATCTGGATAACTTTGATGGACGGCAATACAAGGAACTGCATCATTACATTATTAGTAAGTCACATTTTAAATCTGAGAATTATCTTCCTTAAATACAGTCATGCATTTGGGAAAGCTTACGTATTCCAGTGACATCACACCTGGTATTTATTCACATTTTTATCCCCTTTATTGAAAAGTGAAGTGAGGTTTTAAATCTTATGTTTGTCTCTTAGAGAGTGAACTGGATAGAGGTTTCCGAATGACTCATTTGGGCCACTGACTCAATTTTAACAAACTTCAGTAACAGCTCATTACAAAAGACTTCGACAGGATGGGAGGGCTTCTGACCACATTATGATTGACCCAACTTCCAATTGTTTCAGCCTGAATATGCTGGATGAATTCATCCTTACATGCAAGCAGAAGATATTCACTGATGGGATGACCATAGCAATGTCTATCGATTACCTGACTACTTTTCTAGAAACTAGAACTGCAGAGTTTGCCCAAGATGAGCTCAAACAGGCTTGCACATTTACAGGTTTTACTGTTACAGTCTCCTTTGTGTGAGTTGAGTAGCTAATTAAATGCAATGCTTCCCTTCATTGTGTCATCAGCACATACCAGATGACATCACAGGGGAATGAAATATTTGTAGTTGTCTCCCAGGAAAACTTAGAAACGCACAAAGCCACCCATGAAGTCTCTGTATGAGACAATACAGAGGCCAGTCCTGATGGAAGCGATGGAGTTGCCATGGAGGCCCACCAGAGGAGGTAATTCAACGTACACCAAGGCAAGCTCAGGCCTCAAGGTCTCAAAGGCCTGACTGAAAATTGCCAGTATTAAGTAGTCTCAAAGAAGGATGGTGTAGAAGAATACGTCTTCTCCGGCCTCTGTCCAGAGAGGATGGATACATAAATTGGAGGCATTTACCTTGGTGTGAGAAGGATAACAATTTACAGTCAGTCGCAATCAGTAAAAATCTCACTCTCCACAGACCAGCTCTGAGTACAAAGGGCGTATGTAAATGACAACTATGATGTTAATGGCTCTGTTTAAGATTGCAGATGACTGCAAAATTTGATAAGAGAATTTTTCCAGCATGTCATCATGCACTTTTTATGACATGGTTGTGTATAAAATCAGATAGACCATCTAGGTTGAAACACAGCTTGCCTATATTTCCAGCATGATCTGAAGATACCAAAAGAAAATCACAGGTTCCTGAACTCTAATTTCCTGCCTTGGCTGCCTGGCTTAAAATATACATTGGAATTACCTAGCACTCAGATTTTGTTATGGCTTGGAGCTCCCACTAAATGGAAGGAAAAATTCCAATGCTGGTTGAAAATGACAGGGATTATGTCTTTCCTCAATCATCTTAGGGGAATGAGGCCTTCTTATGGGAATTCTGGCACCATGTCACAAGAAAAAGCTAGCTTTTTTCAGAAGCAGACCTGTCAGAAGGCAGCCTCAATAACTTCAGTCTCTCCTGCACTACCAGAGACATGGACTGAGTCATCTTGCCAAATAACTATGTAACTGCTTTCTCAGAGCTTTGAAACCCATAGCCCCCAGACATCCTCACCTTGCTGTCACTGATGTGATGTGAAACAGGCTTCTCAGGCGAAGGCTCTCCTTCTAATCTGGTAGTTGCTTCAGGCCCTGTAATTTTTTTAACTGTGTCCGTCACACAAGGAAGGGTGCAGTTTTCTGCCATGGTATGCATCTTTCACTGGTGCGTGATTCGCACCGAAATGAGGTGAGGTGTCCGACACTGATGACTTGGTGACTCAGGTCTTGTGGATTTTTTAAGACATCAGTTTCCTCCTGGGAAAAATAAAATGAAAATCCCTCCATTTTATGTTTCAGTGATGGATGTTGTGTTATTGTAAAGCCTTTATACTCCCAGCAGCAAGTACTTAAGTACATACTACACACTGCGGTAAAATCAGTCAATGCAAAGCTACTTGGATACATTTATCTCTACCTCATCCTTTCTTCCGTAGGCTTCTCAGGAACAATTTGCCCCTTTTGTGCACAATCATTCCAAGACATCATTCAGCCAGAATCAAGCTTCATGAAAAGCTAAACCATGCAGGCAGGGTGGTTGTGTATGTGCACTGTAATGTATTAGCGAGAGCCCTTTGTCCAGGGCTCCAAATCAGTAACTGGTGTGTCATAGACTACATCAATGGCCATCATATTTTATTCAGTGGACTTTGTACTATGTAAATTCAGGCATACCCACAGATAAAAATACGGTATCCTTTTTTACAGGTGGAGTTTAGGCACCTGATGCACTCTTAATCTTGTGTTTGTTTATGCTTACTTATTACCTAGGGTTTTCAAGTAACTATGGTGTTGACGTGCTGTGCTATGAAATGCATGTATGTGCACTCTTTGACCATTTGTAATGTGATGTCCTTTTTACACCACATTCAAATTTCCTATTTCACGCATCACTTTTGTTCCTTCTCTATCACCTTGATGGGGCTGTAACCCACCATGAAGAGTACCTGCCAGGGTAGGACATCATCATTTTGTTTGTCCCAAACCTTATTTTCCTTTTTCAGAATTTTGGAATCAATGTATCATTCTGGCTTTTTTTCTCATTTCAAGAAACCTATTTCCCCTCTAGAAATACACCTCCTAAAACCATGAAAAATAAACAAACAAACCAGGCTGTGGTGAAAATAAAAAGGGCAAAAAGCATTTTCTTTTCTGGTAGCTCAGTCATGAAAAGAGTTTTATCTGTTGAGAGCCCTTTCCTAGATCATTATGAGCTCGTATTTCCAGCATATCTCAAAAGCCTCCTTTGTAGTCAAAACTGCCAAGAAACTGAGTCACCTCCATTAGAAAATAAGACTTCCGTCCCTCCTTACTGAGACTATGGGAAAACCATTTAAGTGCTAAAGGCTGCCGTGGGAGGAGAGCTGGTTAGGTGCCAGCAGGCGGTTCAGGTTGCCACCTTGAAAGCAAATTTTCCCTGAGAACGAGGAATGACCTACAGAGTGAGGTATAACTTGGAGGACAAGTGGTACTTCTAAAGGGAATGGTGCCAGGAAAGCTGTTTAATTCTCATTTGGCTTCCTGATGGTCTCAAGAAATAGCACAGAAAATTTAAGTCTTTATTCTGAACATCATTTCTAAGGACTCTTTATTAGATTCCTACTGCACATTTTATGCTTTTCTGGTAAATATCTACAGTGCAAAATTGTCCCATGTGATGAGTGATGAACACTGACAATAACTCGGATATTGGTAGTGATCCTAGGTTTGCTGATGACTTGAGTTTTTGCAGAGCTAGAATATTGGCAGTGTTTTGAAATGCACTTATGTCATCCAGGTTGCATCCACTCTTTCTTGCTAAACCTCTGTGAAAACTCCTGATATAAACTTGTCAGCAAAGCAGCCAGATTCTTTTGAAGATGACAAGAAGCAGGGATTTCTTTCATAAGGTGCTTAACCTACATTTCAACCCTATTAAACAAGCAAAGAAAATCTGTTACTATCCTCTTACTCATTTTTTATTTATTTTAAGTCAGTAACAGCAGTGCTATCGCTTGTGCCCCGAGTCATGTTATATTGACAAAGAGGAAGGAACGCTATGTTCATTTTCCTCAGGGGCATCTCTTAGACATGTATGCTGACTTCCTTATTGATTGGTACTGGTCAATATGTAATCAGAAGCATAGGGATTGTCTCTCTCTTAGTCTGTAACAGATCATTTCCCCAGAGTACTCTACTTGCTATAGGAGAACAGGGATTTAGTTGTTAGGTATTTATTTTTGGTTTTAAACATGCATTTTACTGTCATGGAGGGAGAGGGAATGGCTCTGACTTAGTAAAATAAATGTCCATTAAATGGACTTCAGGAGAAATGCATCTTTGTTTTCTAAAATTCCCAGAGTGTGACAATCAGAAAGGCTGAGTGTTTCATCACGAGTAAGGTGTGTCTCAAACTCCTTTTGATAGATGACGGGAAAAATAAAGCTCGGGCTCTCAGGGAGGTTTTGAGAAAACAAGGTAAATACTGTTCAAAGAAAGCTGCCTTTTTTTTCTTTTTTTTTTCTCTTTAAGAAAAAAAATAAAAAAAATCACCAAACTTCTGGGAGTTTCAGGGATAAAAATTATTTCCGGCTGGAGTAATTTAATAGCCAGAAAAAAGAAATCCTTTCCAAGCTGATAAATGTTTAATACTTAACCAGAAACCTCTAAATTCTCTTCCTTGCACTAGGCTTTTCTGCACTGAATAAGAACATCTTATTAAAAACTTGTTAATTGGTGTGATACTAAATGCAAGTTAGTACAGGTCTCTTACACTTCAAGTTCTGACAGTGTCCTATCTTCAAGTTTTCACAACTGTGTTGCTAAACAACTCCAGTAACAGTTCTACACCGTGTCTATTCAAAACACAGTGGTTATGAACACTAGTGTCATGAGCCTGTCCTCATATTCCTACAGAATACACAGCAGTGGTAAGTGATAATGCAAACTAATGTGCATCAAGTCCCATTTGGTAGTATCAGAAATAGTCATTTTGCAGTAAGGACTCTTCTTAATTGAAAGAGAAGAAACCCGTCTGAAATGCATTTTTCATAGATAAAAAAATCTCCATTGTGCTATTACTTATTCCTTCTCATCTTAACCTGCTAAATGCAGTCAAGCATTGATTTTACAGTTTCTAGTGAAAAGTCTTACTTTTGGACAGTGAGAGAGCATTTCTAGCAAACAAAAAATAGATGCAATCAAAAGTGAGCCTTCGTTTTGATCAAGAATCCCATTGTACATGAATGTATCCTATCACTGACGCCAAGTCCTCAGGGAGTAACCAATTAACGGAGGCATTTGTACAAATACTTCTAGCCAATCTGTCCTCCCATGAGTGTTTTAATGCTTTTAAGAAAATTGCTCTGTAGCCTTGCATGAAACAACATCGAGAAGAAAAAAAATAATAATCCTTCATCTTACTGTTTTCCTTTCAGGCAAGGGAGGGATTTCACAAACCTGGTAGTAGCCTGAACACTTTTGCAGATTAGCTGAGGGGGTGGAGGTATGAAGCGGATAGATGATTTCATCAACCTTGCTGTCCTGATTTCAGAATGGTGCTCTGGCAATCACAGCAGGATCTGCTCTTTGCAGAAAGGCTGAAGCCACAGTCGTGATGGTTTTGAAGGCCAAAATGTCAAATACCTTTCCATAAGTAGCCTGAGACACAAACCTCTATCTTTAGAAGGAAAGCAGAGGAGGTTTATTTTCCAGCCAATTGTACAGCTCCCCTCTCATTGCTAAATTAACTCTGAACTAACCTAAAGCACTACAAGAACATGCTTCCAAGCCATGTAAAACATCCCATTGACAATGCAAGGACTGATCCATCAAGGGGCACAAATCTTACCACACTGAAGGGAAAAACAGTACTCACTTCTGATTTTCCAACGCACTGGTCATAGTTAAAGGGGCTTACTTACGCTTTCCTTAAATTAAGTACATCACCTTTTACAGTTTACAGTTATGTACCTGGGATCATTGTTGTTTATGCATAGCTGGAGATATGATACGTAATTTTTTCAATGTCATTATGAATACTTTAAAGCAGGGAACAGTATCTTCAGGGAGTTACTAAACTCACAACCTATGTAATCCCTTTTAAAATGATGGTTTCTCCTTACATAGAGCAATGATGTTCTGTTATTTGAGTTACTGTGCTTCTTGTGTACTGGTGTGCGTTGAATTTATCACAGTGGTAGAAAAGCTTTGCTCCAAAAACCTGGTTTTCCTTAAAAAAACAAACCAAACCAAATAAAACAACACACCCCCCCCAAAAAAAAAAACAACAAAAAAACAAGCCAAACAAAAACCAAGCCCCAACCCTTTATTCATAGTTCTCGTAGCTGTGATAACTACTTTGAAAATATGAGCCTGACAGTCAAAAAACTGGTGAGTGAAAAGACCTCTTGAAACAATAGCACTAAGAGGTATGAAATACTGCATAGTTCTTAAGGGAGTGTTAATTCTTAATTCGTAACTCCTAAACACAAGTTTAAGGGACATAAAGTAGGGGAAAAAAATTAAATGTACCACCAAAATAAAAGCATACTGTCATGGCTTAGCCCCAGCTGCCAGCTAAACCCCACACAGCCACATTTTGCCCCAGTGGAATAAGGGCGAGAATCAGAAAGGAGAAAGTGAGAAAAAGATCAAGATAAAGACAGTTTAACAGGTAAAGCAAAAGCCATGTATGCAAGCAAAGCAAACCGAGGAATTCATTCACTACTTCCCATGGTCAGGCAGGTCTTCAGCCATCGCCCGGAAAGCAAGGCTCCATCGCACATAACATTACAACATCACTTTGACCGTCCCCCTGCTTCCTTCTTCCCCCGGCTCTACATGCTGAGCACGGCATCATAAAGTGTGGAACATCCCTTTGGTCATTTGGGCTCAGCTGTCCCGTCTGTGTCACCTCCCAGCTTCTTGTGCACCCCCAGCCTACTCTCTGCTGGGGTGGTGTGAGCAGCAGAAAAGGCCTTGGCTCTGTGTAAGCACTGCTCAGCAACAACAAAAACATCCCTGTGTTATCATCACTGTTTCCAGCACAAACCCAAAACATAGCCCTATACTAGCTACTATGAAGAAATTTAACCCTATCCCAGCCAAAACCAGCACACATACAGAAGAGTGTATACAAGCCGTACTAGTCATGGTTGCTATTCAAAGCAAGCGGTAACAGTAAACTCACTTTCTACTGACAGCTGCTATTTTAACTTCCCAAGCTGATACTGCCACTCAGGCACCTCTCTTCTAATGGATAAATCAAACAACTTAGCAAAGGGATTTTCAGATAATCTCTTTCTGGTTTATGAAAGTTCACCTGCACTGCAAGATCCCCCAGGAATGCGCTGAGTTTCTGCTAAAAAGCCAGCCACACACACTTCAGGTAGCATTTAAATCCCACAGACTGCAGACAGCCATTTTCCAAAAACAAATTATATGAAAAATGGGACCTATTTTGTTCTGCTTTATTGAAACCAGAGCCATCCCAGAATCAGAGGTATTTAAAACATTTATTAGCATTAATCATTGGAGGTTAAATAAAACACAAAGCCCCTGTATTTTAGGGCAAAAAAATATTATTAGGTATGATACAATTCATATGTAAAACGGAAGGTAAAATATTAACAGATTGCAGCATCCCATACATGAAGCGATTGGGTCCAGCCCAGTCAAAGCCCTTATATAAACAAAACAGAGGAAGAGTACTTAGCAGGTGATTTTAAACTGACTCTGGCTTAAAAAATTAATGGTAGCATAGTAAAACATATCATCACTGTACTGAAAAAGTCTGATTATAGTCAGAATGCTTGCGTATCTACTACACACTTATTACCACATGCCGTGAAGCATTAGTGAAGACGAGGGGTGACAGGAAACTTTTCTAGGTATAGATACAGCCCCATGTTACATTATAGCACTTTAGAGAGACCTGCTGTACCATGAACAAAAATAATCAATTCTTTTTCCCTTTTGATTTTTCTTAATGGGGTGTCACTTTATTACTTGACTCCCAATTCTTGAAAAATAATGGCTTTTTTTGGATGTCTCAGTCTGCAAGACAAAGTTTTTCTGTAATATGCCATTTTCGTGCATAAGAATGGCAAGTCAACAACTCTACCTACGTGCATCTCCATCTTCTTGCTACCTTCGATCTGCCACTTTAAGTTCATAAAAGTGAAATGATCATTAACAAAAAAATGTACTTACAGAATACAATGTGCAGTATATGACAACCAGACATAGTGAAAAAAACACTACATGTCAGCATAACAATATAAACCTGTACTTATATACAGACACGTATATGCAGAGCATATATGAAAACTAGTTCCTTCGTAATCTTGTTTTTAAACTAGTTCACGACGAGCCAGAAAAGCAAGTCACCCACAACTGGACAGTCACAGTCTTGAGTCATGGTGCAAACAGGCTCCACCAAACACCCTTGGTGCTGCAGCCTGTGCCTCAGTCCTGCTGCCAGTTCTCTAAAGAAAACCAATCTTGGACAAATCCAGCACCAGCTGGCCAACCTAGAACTGCAGTGTTATTATTATTATTAGTGCTCCTGTACAGTAATATAGGTTTTTTTTCACAAGACATTAACTACCAAAAGGAATTCCAGTTGCTGCTGCAAGTTTTGACTCCAAGTCTAGGGTTTTCTTGTATGTCATTCTGGCCATTTATGAAGAGTGCTGGTACTTTCCAAACAACACAGGCAACAAAAGGAAGTAAAAATCATCAATTTGACATTTGAAAATCATGATTTTTTAAACAAATTGTCCCCCCATTTGAAGAAGCATGTTAAAGCTGCAGAGGCAACATCATCGTCAAAGCTGAGCCCTGTCTTCAAAGAAAATATGAGCTGTTCTGCACAGCTCAATGGCCTATTATTTTTTCACTTGTGACTTCAGAGTTCTCTGCTGAAGCTCACCATAATCCAGATCTCAAGAATTTACACAATCAGAACCCTTACCCATTTAAGTCTTTTCCTTGACTAAAAGCAGAGTAAGGCGATTTAGATTTGGCCAACCACATTCAGAAATATCTTTGTGCCTACTTAGCCAGCATTTGAATTTTAAAACCTGCCAGAGATCCATTGCAAGAACCTTCAATTTTAACCTGTCTTAAAATGTAACTCATAAACCTGTTTGGATTCACACACATCTCAACGGCAGCTGTGATAGCTGGTTGTTCAGCACAATATCCCATACAGATCAGCATCAGTTGCCAGTCCCAGCATAAGTTAAGAGTACACAAGGTACTTGCAGAATTGTCTTACAAAGCTTTCAGACATCTCAAGCAGGGTTTAATGAGTTTTGAGATGTCACATTAAAAAGAAAAGAAAGACTAAGCCACGAAGATTTATGAAAGCTTAAAAATGAGTTATGCAGAACTACTATAGGCTGAACTCAAATTTATGACACCTTTAAAAATGGGATTTGAGCTCACCTTGTCTTCTCAGTAACAGGTCTAGCCTTTTACTGGGTTTTATTTAGGAAGAACCAGATCTCTTGCAGCATTGGGTCACAGATCCCATAAACTGTATGATTCTGTGATGTTGATAAGCTTGATATTTCTTTAGGGCTGAAGCCAGGTTAAATTCTTCCTCCACATCCAGGTGAAAGTCCAGGCACCCCTGGGAGACCTGCTTATACTAGGATGGGATAAAATGTTCCCTAAAGGAGCTGTCTCCTTCCGCAGCTACCAACAGTGATGATTGGTGAATTTTCACTTGCATAACTCCGGATTATCTGTGAAATAGTTGCTGCAATGAAGCAGCGCCATGGGTCATTTATCATCACAGGTGACAGCTGAAAGCTTACCTGAAATACCCTTTCTCATGGTAGCTGAGTCTGTGTGTTATCCTATTTTCAAGTACAAGTGCTTTCAGGAGTCCAAAACATAGAAGAAATGGATTATATGTAAGAAAACCATGCAGTTTATATTCTTAGATAAAATCAAGTTGGACATTTCCCACCTAGAACTGCTTCAAGCCCTCTAAAGACAAAGAAACATTCCCGCTGATTTCATCTGGCTCTCCTTCAAGCCCTAATAATTAGTGCCATTTTATCAAAGCAATCTCACAACCAAGCAATAAGCTCTGGTTTTATGTATAAACACAGAAAACCAGCTCTAGCCTGCCTGTTCATGATTTATTGTGGAAAGTTGTTTTTCCCTTTTGTTTGCTTTTTGTAAGCTCCCCAACAGAAGTACAGGGAGGTTAATTTTCCTCCTGAGAGAACAAATGAATGTTGTGGAATGCAGGCTAGACTGTGGTTTTGTAGCCTGCATTTCTTACCCTAGTTCTGATTTCCAATGAAATTAAAGATAAATTTGGATTTTATCATCTCAGTCACACATGTGCATAAAAGATGGAAGCAGAGAACACATATGGTTTTACATTATTTCTGGTTCATAACCACCTATTGGATTTTGTTTTTCAATACTGCATTTTCAAGTGCATCAATACAGCGGATCTTCCATAGCACATCCCCATCCAAGTGAAGAGCCTACTCCAAAAATTCACAGAATTGCATTTGTAAAGAAACATCTTGGTTTGTTTTATTAGATTCCAGCCTTTGACTCCAAATTATATTGTGCTCTCTTAAGCTGTTTTTGTACAGAAATATTCTTCCAACATGAAGACTGCTTGGAGTGCAGCAGGGAGACCGCGAGGAGTGAGGCACTGTGGCACCCTCTGTTAGAAACCAAGGATGTGGCGTCTTTGAGCAGAGATAACTTCAGTCTGGGTCACAGATGTGGAGGAAACCTGGTACGCAGTGGAGATTAAGCTGGTGTTTAAGAAAGCCCATGCCCTAGAAAGGGAATCACTTCAGGCAAAGCACAGTGGCTGCATCTGGAGTAGACTGGAACTGCATGGGGTCCAGCAGTCTCTTTCATGACAATTCCTTCTTCCACATACACAGCACCTCCTGACACAGGTTAACGTCTAGCCTGTAAAAACTGCACTTGCTCATCCTTTGGATCCATTTTTGCTCTACTTAGCAAATTCAGTCAATTTCTTCCTGATGTTTACTGAAAGTACATGATGAAGCTACAGATTTAAAAAAATACTGAAGCAAAGTCCAGCTAGAAGGATGGCAGAGCAACTGTAAGCCAAAATTCAGGGCTTATAGGTTTTTTTTCCACCCTATTATTACAAAGAAAACTCTAAAAACAAGCAAAGTCCACTTTGCAATGTAAGAAGATAAGTTTTTGCAGCAAATCTAAATTTTAGATATAAAAGGATCTTTTTATTAAAAAAAAAAAGTCAGTGGTTTGAACAGAGCATCAGAGTACTTTGACACTGTAATTTTGACAGGATATTAGAGAGGATTTTCCAACTAGGTTTTGCAAAATCCCTTTGAAGTAAAGCTTTCTGCTTCTGGGACTCGCGTTACTGCTCATGGGAAGTATTGGAATTACTGCTTTCAAGATAAGGAGCCACGTCAGTGAGATCACAAAGTCCCTTCTCAGTGAGAAAAGCAAATGGTGCTGTTTTTCAAGTAAATCTAAAGAGATCAGGTTGGGTCAGCAGCACCGCCTACCCGTCTGTGAAGTCTGCTTTCCAAGTTTGATGGCTCCATTGTTACCATTTTCATGAGGATCTAAGGGTGGAATCTGCCGACCTGAAACAGAAGAGGCAATGAATTCAATTTTCCTCATGTAGTAAACAACACATGCAGCAGCAGAATGATTTAGTTTGCATAAGAATCCCATCTGTCAAACTTCACCGGAAGACAACTGTCTCCTGTGTACCTTGAATATTTTCTCTTGCATCCTGCTTATGAAAAGATTTTTACATTTAAAAACATGTATGAAATATGTCTATTGAGAATGCATGAAATATATTGAAATTATGTTGTCCGTGTATTTAAAAATACAGTTATCTTACAACTAAGAAAAATTCCCGGCTTTCTCCTAATTGCACCTAAGTGTGAATGGTGCTAGTTTAACAAGATCTTGCCTGCCCTAAATCCGCCTGGCATTTAGTCCTTGTACACAAGTTTTACAAAGCGCAGCAACTAAACGCATGCTGCGCTTATATTTGAAAAATGAACCTGTTCTCCTGACTGAATCCCTCCCTCCTTTGAGGGGTACCCATGCCTTTCCAGTTGACAGCTTTGATTACTTACCACCCCCTTCCCCACAAACTCTCCTGACTTTTTAATCATCTTATGGGGCAATTATTTTAAATGTTTTAAAGAATTTCAGCCATCACAGCAGAGCTAGAGATATCTCCCTGGGGCAGAAGGCACTGGTCCAACTCCCTCCTCTGTGTGCCCTTCTAGAACTGCTGCATCTTCGTCTAACTGGCTTCCTACTCATGGACAACATACAATGTGCTTGGTAATTAGAATCATAAATGGGAAAGAAGATCCTCCCAGGTCCAATCTATCTTCTGTCTCTGGTGTGGGCCTGGCTTTTCCATTACACCCATTGTGTGATGTCTCCATCAGTATTTTGGAGTCATGGTAACATACTTCTCATTACCTTGTAGATTTCCTGATTTTTTTTTTTTTGAAGTTTAATCTACTTCCTATGAATTATTCCTGGTTTTACTATTATGCATGTTAAATAACAAGAAGTGGAATATTTAACATTTGCTTGTTACACGCCACTTTCAGGGAGCATAACGATCCTGTAAACAGCTCATCATAATCCAGGTGGATTTTACAGTTTAGGTTTCCACATCCTTTGCTGCTTTTATTCACAGCTCTCTTCTGGCAAATGTTCCATGAATTACGTCTCTGTTGAAGCCTGAGTCCTACAAATTACCTGGGGGAGCAGTTGTGGGAGGGTGAGTTTAAAGCATTCAGGTAAAATTCAAACCCAGTGAATCAAACCACAAAATTTCATCTGTAAAACTTGTCCTTAAATTACCTTTGGTCAAGCCCATCAAAATTTCACCTCTCTCAGTCAGTCTGAACAGGTATGTTATACAACAAACAAAAGCGTGCCTTCTGAAGCAGATAATCTTGGCTGTTTGTACAAACTGAATGAGAGGGGGAAAATTCCTCACATTACTAAGCTAAAGATAGTGTATTTGGTCCAACAGAGTGAGAAATGGGTATCTTGAGGGCTGAAGCACACATAAGCACTGGCACTGCAATGCTGCACCCTATTCAGGTCACTAAAATATCACCTTCACACCTTGCGTACATTGTTTGGACTTCACCACCTTACTTTTGTTTGGAAGTGCCCTTCAAAATGAAATTTAAAGCAGAATGAGTGGTTATAGACACAGCTGTTACATGCATTAGTTCTGCTGGCTTTGTTTGGAGACTAAAGAGAATCCACTAATTATTAAAACTGCAGAGAATAAGAAGAATGTTCCAAGAAGGTCACACTGTTGTCGTAGAGACCTGCAGGGAACTTCTGCATCAGGTACCTACTCTTTCCAAAATGCTTTCAACTCAATCCCAGCTACAATAAAACCCCATCATCTGACCCAGAGCACAGTGTAGCCAAAAAATTGGAATCTGCAGGCACAGTTTCCATAACATACCATTAAGCAAATTGCTCTCTAAACACTTGGTTCTTCTAACAGCAAGTTTAGAAGAGGAGAGCTTTAACATGCTAACTAGCTTAAGCCCGCATTAAACAACTATATTGCCTCTATTTGTTTTTCATTCAGTGTTTCATATTTCTCATGAGTTTCAACTCTTTTCTACAGTACTCTTGATGTGTATGCAAAGAAACACGTTAACTTATCTTCAGAACAAAATCATTCCAGGCTTCAAGGTCAACGAGCACTTTGTCTAGTTCAGACCAGGACACAATATATACCAGTAAGAATCACTTTGACGTATTTCATTTCTCAAAACAATAAAACCACAGAGATAACAACTACAAATAATAAAGAGAAAAAAAAATCTCTAGACATAATATTTGCTGATTAGTTATTCTGGCCTTTGAACTTCAGTGCTATTTGTCATTAACTAGCCCTGTTTCTGTTGTTTGGACACCCCTTGAATTCAATACAAGGAAATAAACATTTAAACAGTCAAAACTTTTTTCAAGTTTAAGACTATCTTTTTTAGTAGCTGAGTTTTTTCTCATTTATGATTTCTTTTGTTACCAGATTTATTAAACCCTTAAGTCATCTTAGTTTTAGTAACAAGACTTATCCCTGCCCAAGCAGCTTTTACCACCTGATGTGCAGTTGACAGGAGTAACTCTCTTGGAGTGTAAATTCAGTCTAACACCTGAGAACCAGCTCCATAGCAAATGATACAGTGATTTTCACCAAGAGTCAGGGGAAGCGAATAACAGTAATCAGTCAGAAGCCTGTCTAACTGATTGTGTCTCCCTGGGCCTCCTTGACAGCAAGACGCTGTAACACAGAAAGCTTTACGCAGCAGCAGAACACTGAAGGTGAGCAGTGAAATGCTGAACCTGCACCTACACTTCCTGCTTCTAAACCAGCTCAATCAGTATTGCTACCTAAAAGTGCCGTGATCATCTGATCTTGTCATTCAGGTCTTGATAAGTATAGCATCAATATTGCTGACACCAACTCAAATACAGCTGGCACCGAGTCAGGATCAACAGAGGTCATAAACTTAATTAATTTTAGAAGGTATATAAACATTTAAAGTGTGTATCTCACTGGCATACATGGTTCCAGACCAATAAAAAAATGCCCCTGTGTTAGATAACCTACAGCATGGTTATTAATAATTAATCAGTATTATTAAATAATATTAAATATTAATATTGTTAATAATCAGCATGTTATTTCTTTCATGCAGTTGATGTCAGAAAGGAGCAGTAGTGCTCTGACATCCAGCCCTGCAATTCCCCTACTGAAGGAATAAAAAGATTAAGGCAATTCTTCAAACTGAAAACTGCTCTGTTAAGATAGAGTCAGCTCAAAAGGTGCATGGGCGATTGAACTCATCTGTTGCTTAACTTGAATATGACAAACTAGACCACAAATAGAGTCTTTTCTCCATTTGGCAGAGCAGGACAGAAGAGAACTAGCCAGCTTCTCAAAGGCCACCAACAGCACGTTTTAAGATTCCAGATTAAACAGCCAATCACACAGAGAAAACCAGATCTGCATACATTTACCTAAGAACTCTGCAGGTGAACTGGTTAAATAAGGAACTTAAGGATATACTATTATTGAGACAGCATGAAAGTCCCATATGGTTCCCAATTCTGGTATTTCTATGGAGGAAGACCAGCTGACTGCAATTTAAAAATTAGATTTTGCCCTTGTATTTATATCTGATCATATATTTGGGGTTCATTTTGCTAATGTTCGGACCATGCTTCACAGATTTCACGCAACAAAACTGTTTGTAACCATGCACCTCTACACATTTGTGCAGAGGTGTTGGTATCCTCCATGATCTCACTGTAGTAAACACACGATGGTGTGTAAAACAAGGGTCACAAGAGACTGCCCAAATATAGAGTTACAGAAATTGTCATTGTTCTGAAGTGAACCCTCCAGGTTAACAGGTGGGAAGCACTAAATTGATCTCATCTCCTCCTTTCTGGCATGTTTGAATTTGGCTGAGGCAGTCCAGCATGAAGGTCAGGGTCCTCTCCAAAGCCTGGTAGAATTCCAACTCCTTCTACTGAATGTGAGGTTTGCTGATGTAAAGAGATTAATCAGCACTCTGGGAGTTGCAGTTCTGAGGGTGCCAAAGGCAAAGAGATTGGGAAATGGGAGGGTGGGACAAGAGATAAGCAAAATGGGAAGGAATTAAAATGAAAACTGGAGCAGGGAAGCCAGAGAGATGCAAGGACTGGGTGACAGCTCTGTGAGCAGAGTTGAAGAAAGGCAGATGGGGATTGCTTTGCTGCAGCTGGAAGCAGGATGCATCATCACAGTAACAAAATCTGCAATTTGTTCCTTTTTGAATGTGACGCTCCAGTTACAAGCTGTGGCATCCATTACCTCAGAAAAATTAGGCTTGGTGTTGAGCTTTTTGCTTTAGGTTTGGGGTTTGTGTGCATGTGTGTGTTTGGGGTTTGTTTGTTTGCTTGTTTGTTGCTTTGTGGGTTTTCTTTAACATGAAACTACTTTCATCATTGACCTGTACAAGACTGCATGAAAGGCTGGGAACAGTCTGAAAGCTGAGCATAAGGGACAAAACCCACCACTGGTTACCATGCTGACAAAGGGACAGACACAACAATGCATTGAACAGATACTCATTTAGGGTGAAAACAGATGTGATGTGATCAACCCAAGGTGGCACACCCAAATAACGAAGTCCAAGTCCAAAAGAAGCACAGTCTTACTGTCTAATACAGCTACAACAATTCTGCCAAGGGTCACAGGCAAGACATCACAGTGCTGCATGGTGGCTTTCTGCTCATTTCCCCCATCTATTCTCTTCCTGAAAATCACATAGAAATTCGTTTTTTAGGGGACTGAAGGATGGGGAGATACTCATTAGTTCAGGATGTGCGATCCATTTCACTCTGCCCTGGAGCAGCAGCCTGGCAGCTCCTACAGCTTAGGTGAGCTTTTCTCATGGCTCACCTCAGGAAAGGCAGACTTCTTCAAGTAGTTGTACAACAGCTATACAATGGCAGAACCTCCTCCTACAATTGCTAGCTGTATCACAGCAAGGTGAGCCCCTGCAAAGCATTGCTCTCCATAAAC